CAGTGTTAAAGAAATCGCCACACAAATTAGCATTCGCATCCCAATTTTTTTAAATCTCATTTCATGTCGCAAGAAACCAATCAAATTGCTTATTCAATTGGAATTCACACGACGACATGCACGTTCACATTACACATAGTTTTTGTACTTTTGAGTATATTAAAAAAAACTTGTACTGGAATCTCTATGAAATACGGGCAGCTTTGGCAAGGTTTACTTTCTTTTTCTCCTCCCAGTCTACGGTACCCCCATGATAGATCAAGCTTGCCGCCCCCCCCCCCCATCACGCAAAGTTACAGTGCCTATGAATCTTAATGTATAAGCTTTACATATCTGTGCTAGAATCTAACTGATAAAAATGTCACTTTCACATCACTTTCCAATATTCACATGAAAAGTAACTAGTTCAGCTTAACAGCTTTGATTACGCATGTCAAGGTGTCACGGTCGTGCCTCACTCCCCACATAACACCTCGCAATTATAAAAACGCGGATTGTTATGCGGGCTGCATACATGCGGCCGCACGATTTCTTGGACCCCGCGACGTTAATTGTTGGTGTGGCGAATCATGCGTTGAGGGAGTTCATGCATCTCTAGAAGGTTGGGATACCCGTCTACGTGAGGAACGGGTGGAGTATTATTGCGCTCCGATTACAAGTCTGATTTTTTTCGCTGGCTGGCGCGGCGATTATCTAGTCCACCCGTCCGGACCAGCTGACACAAGCAAGCAGCTCGCCCGCTAATTTTCTGAATCGCCAACTGGCGAATGGGCGACGCTTAGTTTCTTCACGCTGGATATATGAATTCAAGCCGGTACGGGAGATCATTTGCAATATATTTCTAAGATACCTATAGACACATGTCTTAGCTAGACTCTCTGTGAATATTGAGTTTATTGACGCGCGATTAGTCAATATATTAGCAAAATAGTATGGCGTACTCGTAATCTCCCGTACGGCCTTGAAAAGATAAACCCTACCAAAATTAGCACAGCAGGCCAGCTACGGAGAATCAGCCATTCGAAACAGTTTGAAAAGATAGATATTCTCTTAATAGGCTATCTTGTAGTTAGGACTTTTTCTGTTAACAGTCATATATAATGTAGAAGGAGACGGGACGTAACAACAGCAAGATTACTGCTCAACAAACATGCAAACAGGCACGTACGTCAGTGACACGGCAGGCAACAATGCAAGACGAAGAAAGACGTCCGCTAGCCCACAAAGGGGATCAACCCAAAGTACGAAGCAAACGCAGCCGCCAATGTCTCGGGCAGTTGATCAATTTGAAGCGCCAGACACTGGCGATGTGGTCACGGCAGCAATAACACCGCGCCAGGGTCGTGTGCGGAGGCTCTTCGGCCGAGATTCATCGCAAGAGTGACTTGAGCGAGGCTCAGAGTCTGATGACGCAAATCATCTATATCCGTCGGAGCCTTGACATGGAAGAGATTTGATGTTAGGGGTACGGACTCGGCACAAGATTTCGCAACCCAGTCAGAATTAAGAAAGGTAGACGGGAATAAATCAGATTCCCCAAGTAGAGGCATAAAAAAGAGAAAGATAACTGCACCAGGGAGAGATAACGATTATAACCACAGGCAGTTGCGAAGTAGAGCTAACTGCACAGATGAAATAAACGTATAACCACGGGCAGTGAAGCGAGTCAGAGCTAACGCACAGGGAGAAGATAAACGTTATAGACCACGCAGTGTAGCGAGTAGAGCTAACTGCACAGAACAGATATAACGTTATAACCACGCAGTGTAGCGAGTACGAGCTAAACTGCACAGGCGAAAGATAAACGTTATAACCACGGGCAGTGTTAGCGAGTTAGAGCTAACTGCACACGCGATGAAAGATAAACGTTATAACCACGGCAGATGTAGCGATAGAAGCCATAAACTGCCATGACGGAGAAAAACGGTTGATACCACGGCAGAGTGTAGCGAGTAAGAGCTAACTGCACAGGGGAGAGATAAACCGCTTATAAAACCACGGCAGTGTAGCGAGTAGAGCTAACCCTGCCACTGAACAGATAAACGTTTATAACCAGCGCAGTGTAGCGAGTAGAGCTAACTGGCACAGGGAGAGTAAACGTTATACCACGGCAGTGCGAGCGAGTAGAGCTAACTGCACAGGAGAGATATAAACGTTATAACCACGCAGTGTAGCGAGTAGAGGCTAACTGCACAATGAACGAGATAAACGTTATAACCACAGGCAGATGTAGCGAGTAGAGCTAACTAGCCACAGGGAAAGCAAAACTTATAACCACGGCGTGTGACGAGTAGAGCTAATGCACAGAGAGTATAAAACGTTATAACACCGGAGTGTAGCGAAGTAGAGCTAACTGCCACATGAGAAGATAAAACGTGTATAACCCGGCAGTGTAGCCGAGTAGAGCTAACTGCACAGGAAGAGATAAACGAATGTTATAACAACGGCAGTGTAGCGAGTAGAGCTAACTGCACAGGGAAAGATAAATGTTATAACAACGGCAGTGTAGCGAGTAGAGCTAACTGCACAGGGAAAGATAAATGTTATAACAACGGCAGTGTAGCGAGTAGAGCTAACTGCACAGGGAAAGATAAATGTTATAACAACGGCAGTGTAGCGAGTAGAGCTAACTGCACAGGGAAAGATAAATGTTATAACAACGGCAGTGTAGCGAGTAGAGCTAACTGCACAGGGAAAGATAAATGTTATAACAACGGCAGTGTAGCGAGTAGAGCTAACTGCACAGGGAGAGATAAACGTTATAACCACGGCAGTGTAGCGAGTAGAGCTAACTGCACAGGGAGAGATAAACGTTATAACCACGGCAGTGTAGCGAGTAGAGCTAACTGCACATGAAGACAATGACGGCTCTAACGAGGACGCATTTGATTGCGCCCACTGTCACAGTACAGAAGCCACTAGGATACGCCGCACCAAGGCAAGAGGGAGGAAAGCGCATAAGGAACAGAGTTAAAGGATGCTTGGCGAGAGCATAGACGAAACGTTGAGAGATTCACTGTATCTCCTTTCATTGTGTCCGTGCCCCTACCCTACCACTCCGCCCCTTTCGTGAAGGCTTGAATTTGACACTACGCGTAAGATTAGCGCTGAGCACACGAGTGAGTGTTGTACAAGCATGCAATATCTGGCATCAAGTCGGTTATGAATACTACGATGATCACTAGTTATGATTATCACTGTTGTACACGCATGCGATTCGGTTACGACTACCACGATGATTCATTGGTTATGATTATCACTGTTGTAGCCGCATGCAATTTG